TCTTGCTGTCACTTCTCTGTGTGTGCTCACTCTGTCCCTTAGAGGGCTGGTCGGGACACCTTAGTGGACTCTCTACCTCTTTGCCTTCCTCTTCCTTTCTTCCTACAACACCTGTGCCATTAGGATGGAGTGCAGACTTTACCTGCATCACGCCCCAAGACCTGGTGCTCCTCGGTTATCAACATCTCAGGGTTAAGTCTGAAGGCTCTGTGACTTGATAGAGGTGTCTCAGGATGACTAGAAATTTGGGATTAGTGAAGACAAAAACACACTGATGTAATATCCCCACATACTGTCCCCAGTAACCTGCAACTCCCATACAGCTGCACTTTCTGTGGGGAGTCGGGTCTTCTCTCTCCTCTGTTCAGCTCAACACAGTTACCCAGAGGAAGAGGGCTGGGAGCTTTCAGCCGATGAGACTGCTCCCTGCTTGTTCACAGAATCAATTCTCCACTGGGTTTCCTCTTCTTCCCTCCTCTCCCCACTGCCCCCAGGTTCCTTTAATGTCACTGCCCTGCCCGCTCCTCCTGCTGACAGATCAGTAGCTTCTCCCTGGCCTTTGGCCTGCTTGCCACTCATTCTGATCCATCAGTTTTTCCCTGGATAGAACTCTTTGGGGTGGGGACCACGTGGGCAGTGGAGAGAGAAGGGGTATCACTTAAGACGGAACAGCTACATGACAGTCAGGCTGGGTCACAGACCAAAGTCAGCTGTAATCGTTTGTGCACAGGGCCTGTGTGGTGCTTTTAGGTTTGTCTCAGAACTGTTTATTGTGAATTAAGCATAGGTTTCTAGAGCAGATGAACAGTTTTCCATCTAACAATTCACACACATTTTGTTTCATTTCACTGATTGCAATACTCACAATGTAACATCACTCATCCTGGTTCCATTCCTCCTTCTTCCTAACCCTGAATTCTCTCCCTGGGAAAATGCTGGAATGATGATTATTCCAAGGCATACACACCTTCCTAGACCTGTCTACTGTTGGGATGAACATTGACACAAATGGCGAGTGCAGTTGCAGGCCAGAAGGGTGATTTTGAAAGATCCTTCTCAGTTCCCGCAGCCTGCTGGAGTGTGTTCCATGTCCTGTGTCCGCTGAGAGGAGAAGAAACGATCGGTCAGTTCACAACTCCTCAGGGCAGACACAGACCCGGCCAGAGTTAGACAAGGGCCAGGCGGAGCTAGAACTGGGTGCGTCTGATGTCACATCCATCCTTTTCTCAAGGGCCAGGCTGCTCCTTATCCCTCCCCCACAGACAGACATTCCTCAGGAATTGTGTAAGATAGGTTCCGGAGTATTAAAACACACGAAGTTTTTGGTTTCCCAGTGCATATACAAGTTATGTTTACACCATGCTGTAGTCTATGAAGCCTTCAATAGCATCACGAAATCTTTTGAGATGTTGCTAGAATGTGACAAATGTGACACAGAGATTCGAAGTGAACACGTGCTGATGGAAAGATGGTGCCATCGGGCCTGCTTGATGCAGGGTTATCAGAAAGCTTCAGTACAAAACTCAGTATCTGAGAAGCACAGCAAAGCACAGTCCAACGAATTACACTGTAACCAAGCAGGTGCAGAGTGGGTGAGCTCTGAGACCTTGAGTGCCGTCCGCGGGATGTTTGTGTGAAACACACAGGATACAAACACACACACACACACACACAGACAAATACTCTCTTCCACACAATTTATACACAAATGCTGTTGTTGTTGGTAAGTGCCATCAACTCGGTTCTGACTCATAGCCATCCTGTATAGAGAGGTTCCAAGGAGTGGCTAGTGCGTTTGAACCGCCGAACTTGTGGTTCAAACTGACCTTGTGGTCCAGTGCTTTATCCCACGGTGCCACACCAGGACTCCATACAAATGTTTGTTGTTGTTGTTGTTAAGTGCCATCGAGTCGATTCCAACCCATAGTGACCCTGTGTAGGGTTTCCAAGGAGCAGCTGGAACCGCCGACCTTGTAGATGAGTTTGAACTGCCGACGTTGCAGTTCAAATGGCTTTGCAGTCTGACACATTAACCCACAGCGCCACACCAGGACTCCATACAATGGTTAGCATGCCATAAAAATTTATTTGTTCATTCATTGGTTAACAACAATTTATTGAGCAAATACTATCTGCCAGGCACTGCTTAGGAAATGAGACTAGGAAGGGACTTCTAAAAGTTCATGGATTTTGTGTGGAATAAATTTGGGCATGTAGTAGCAATACTTTTTGATGTACCCACATACTTATATGCAATCACCTGTACCTTACCCATCATACCGGATCTGTTTTCCATCCCTTTCTCAGATATAATGTCAATATAAGAAGTTTCCTTCCACCTCAAAGCATGGATTATGGATTAAATTGTGTTTCCAAATAAGTGCTGGAATCCTAATCCCTAAACCTGTGGATGCAATTCAGGTTGAAAGTACAATTTTCTTAGTTAGTTCAATCGTACTTGAGGGCAAAAGAAGTTTGTGGGAGAATTCCCTTTTTGAAGCCCTTTCTTAGAGTGGCCATGTTCTGTTGGCCACAATGGTCCCTAGAACTGATGTTCTGTTGGGAGGAATGAGATGCACAAAAGCAATGTGGAGTCCAGTAATGAGAGCTGAGTAGAGAGGACAGCAGGGGGGTGTGAGCGGGGTCAGGGGCAGAGGGTGCTGACCAGTAAAGGCCTCTCTCGGAGGGGTCAATATTTGAGTTGAGATGGTCTCTAATGGGGAGAACCTTCCAGAACCAAACTCACAAGTGAAAAGGCCATATGTACCTGAAGTGTGGAATTATGGATGACTTCTTAATAATGTCAGTGCATCCCTATGTTCCTCGCGTGCCCACATACAAAGCTGCTTCATTCTTTCTGAGGGCAGCAGGAAAGCCACAGTGCAAGTCATCAGCCACAGATGGACTCATAGTTAAGACGTTTCTCAGCCAATTTCGCTAATCCAAGCAATGCAGATGTGCATATTTTAGAACCTCCATACATAGACAAATGAATTTGTAGGATGAAATTCTGAAAGTGGAATTATTGGAGCAAATAAATTCTAACAAAACAAATAAACATTGCTCTCCATGGAGTCCTGGTGTGATACTGCAGGTTAAGTATTAGACTGTGAACTGAAAAGTCAGCAGTTCAAACCCAACAGCTCCTCCTTGGAAATCTTATAAAGGGTCTTGACGAATCAGAACCGATTCAACGGCACTAAATAACAACATGGAAGTAGTGGAACTGCTCTACAGGGTTTGCGAGGCTTTAATAGGTCGGAACCACTGACTTTTAGGTTAACAGCCTAATGCTAAACCCATGGACCGCCAGGGCTCCTATAAAAGTACTACAGGTATTCGCAGCAATAATGCACGAGCATACCTGTGTTAACCTCCCAACCCTAAATTATTCATTTTAAGAAGATTACCACTCTGATGAAACTTAGTTTATTAACTCTTTTCCTGTGATTACTGTTGTTATTGTTAAGTGCTGTCGAGTTGGTTCCGACTCATAGCAACACTGTGTAGGGTTTCCAAGGAGCAGCTGATAACTTTGAACTGCTGACTTTATGGTTCAAACTGACATTGAGTTTGAGTGCTTATCCTACGGCGCCACATCAGGACTTAGGAGCCTTTTCTGCAAGCAGTGTATTCATATCCTTTGTTCATTATCAGGTTGGGTTGCTAGTTTTCTTATTGATTGGGGAGAGCTCTTTATATATTAAAGAGACTATCCTTTTCCACACACCCAATTTCATTTTGTTTAACGCAGTGTTCCATACAGAAAGCTTTTGGTTGGTTTTATATAATGAATGTATGCGGTGGTTTGTGTCAGGCTTAGTGTTGGTGTTCCCTGGGGTCCTATCTTGGAGCTGTTTCTACTAGACTCCTCCCCACTCTGTGTGCTGTCTCAGCCATGCCAATCAACATTCATACACAGCTGCTCCAACGGTTCAAGGGCAGCTGTGGCTGAGAGGCAGAATTCTGGCATTTCGTGTGGGAGACCCATCCTTGTTATGTGCTGGTCTCTGTCACCCATAAAGCTATGTTTCAGTATTAGCTCCCTGGTACTTGTGAATGTGACCTTGTTAGGAAATAGGGTGATCAAGTGAAGATGAGGTCATATTGAAGTTGTTTAGGCCCTAATCCAATAGGACTGGGGGCTTTATTACAAGAAGAGAAGACACAGAGACACAGCAGGGAGACAGCCAAGTGAAGATGGAGGCAGACATTGGAAAGGTGCTGTCAGAAGACAAGGAACGAACTCCCAGGACCATCAGGAGCTGGACAGTCAAGGTAGGACCTTCTCATGGAGGTTACAGAAGAAGAAAGTGTTTGATTTCAGACTTTTGGCTTCCCGAGCTGAGAGAGGATAGATTTCTGCTGTTGATGATCACCCAGTTTGTGGTCCTTTATTATGGTGGCCGCAGGACATTAACACAGCCGGCTTCCTTCCTCCGCATCTTCATTCAGGGTCCCAGTTCCCACCTCTTGCACGTCCTGTGGTCCAGCCTCCTGCTCACAGCCTGCTCCTCTACCAGAGTCTTCGTTGTCTCGTCCCTGTCCCTGCAGAAATCCAAGCCCTCCCGTGGGAGGCCACATCCTCTACCCAAGCCCCCTGCCTAGCAGTTTCTCTTGGGAGCCTTCTCCCCTCTTCTGTGCCTAGTGCTTCAGCTCACCGGTGACGTCAGTTCTGCTCTTAGCTGTCTCGCAGCCACCAAGAAGCTTTCTCCGACATCTCATGAAGGTCCCATCCGCGTAGCCAGCTCTGTGATCTCTTCTTTAGCCCCAGCGAACCTGGCCTTGCGCTCCTAGCCCATGAGCCGGGGAGATGGGGGATCTGCCTCTTCTGTATTGCAAACCTAGGGCCACAGCGCAGGGTAGGGGCCCCACAGACCTTCACTGAGCCTCTAAATCCAGATCTTGGGGTCTTTAGCCACTCTTCAAGAAAAGCGGGAAGGATGGGGTCACTGCTGGCGCTCTCCCCACGAGGGTCTGGGGGAGCTGAATTGTGGCTGTCAGGCCCCCACCAGCGCCTTGCCCAGGGTCTGGCTGGGCCACGGCCGCCACGCCAGCGCCCTGCGGAGGCCGGCGGTGACTTCGCGGTTGCGCAGACTGTAGATGAGCGGGTAGAGTAGCGGCGTGACGCCGGTGTAGACCAGCGCTAGAGTGCGGTCGCGGCGTGGGGTGTAGGCGGCCTTGGGGCGCACATACATGTAGGTGGCACAGCCGTAGTGTAGGAAGGTGACGGCCAGGTGCGAGGCGCAGGTGGAGGCGGCCTTGTGGCGGCCCCCGGGGGCGCGCAGGCGGCGCAGGGCGGTGGCCAAGGCGCCGTACGAGGCCAGGATGAAGGAGGCGGGCAGGAGCAGCAGGAGCAGGCAGGTGCCCAGCAGCGGCAGTTCGTCGACGTAGCTGCGCGTGCAGGCCAGATGCAGCAGCGCCGTGATGTCGCAGAAGAAGTGCACCAGCAAGTGCGACCCGCAGAAGGGCAGCCGGAAGATGGCGGTCACTAATCCCAGCGACACGGCCAGGCCGCCCAGGCAGCAGGCCAGCACCAGGCGCGCGCACAGCGCGGTCGTCACCACGGCTGGGTAGCGCAGCGGGTGGCAGATGGCCACGTAGCGGTCGTAGGCCATGGCGGCAAGCAGGAAGCACTCGGCGCCCCCCAGCCCCACGAAGAGCTGCATCTGCACGGCGCAGGCCCACCAGGAGATGGGGCGGCCGCGCGCGGGGCTCGGAGCCGCCAGGTCGACCAGAGCGCGCGGCACCACCACCAGCGTGTAGCCCAGTTCGATGGCGGACAGCTGACCCAGGAAGAGCAGCATGGGCGGGCGGCGAGGCGCTGCGGCCACCGACGCCAAGATCAGCAGGTTGCCGGTCACCGTGGCCAGGTGCGCGGCCAGCAGCAGCAGGAAGAGCACGGGCCGCAAGCGCGGGAATTCCGAGAATCCCTGCAACAGGAAGCCCGGCGCGCTGGCGTTGAGGGCGCTGGCCATGCACCCACCAGTCACCCCGCCCCCGAAGGGACGGGCGCCTGTGGGTGCCACCTGGTCCTCTGGGAGCTGAAATGGGGAGCACAGTGGGAAATAGAGGGTGTGCGGGGGAAGGTACAATGAGGGGTACCATTCCCAGAAAGGGAGACCCCATTGCATTAAAAAGGGTCTCACTGTTCCCATCTCCTGGAGCTGGTATTCACATGTTGTTGTTAAGTGTCATCGAGTCAGCTCCGACTCCTAGCGACCCTGTATAGCGTTTCCGAGGAGCGGCTGGTGAATTTGAACTGCCGACCTTGTGGTTCAAACTTAAGGTCTAGTGCATCATCCTACAGCGCCACCCCAGGACTCCTATAGCTGCTTGCTATGGTAGCACCCTCTTTCCAAAGAAGCTGCATGTAGCCCCGTTTCCTTCAATGCACCCATATCCGGCCTAACTTAACAATCGATACCTAGGTCTCCGTAAACTAGTTATTATCCCATGTTACTATCTCATGGTCTGCTGCAGATGAACTCCCGGAGCAGGGGAGTGGTCTTCAGTCTCACTTTGTTACCCTGCCCCCTCCTCTGCTTGGCCACTTCAAAGTTGCTTTCAGGTTCAGAGGGACTACAGACAGGGGTCCTGGTGTGGTGGTGTAGGATAATGCACTGGACCATAAGGTCAGTTTGAACCACAAGTTCGGCGGTTCAAACTCGCCAGCCGCTCCTCGGAAATTCTATGTAGGGGCTGCTAATCTCAAGGTCAGCAGTTCAAACCTACCAGTGGTTGCAAAGAAGAAAGATGAGGCTTTCTGCTCCAGTCAAGATTTATAGCCTCGGAAACCCTAGACAGGGTGGCTATGAATTGGAACCAACTCTCTCTCACAAGTTGGAATGACTCTATAGCACTTAACACCAACATGCAGGGGAAGACCTTAGAGGTCAGCTGACACTCTCATTTTGCAGAGAACATAAAGCACAGAGGCTGAATGTGGGAACCAAGTCTGATCCCCAGGCCCAATTCAGGGCTCCTGCGACCCCAGATGAGGCCAATCAATTAGTCTTTTTGTCTCTGGCCTTCAGTGGAAGCCCAGTTAGCCAGGTCCCCAGCAAACATCTGGTTGCAGGAAGTTGTTGTGGGGAGGGCCTGACTTTGCTGTTTGGAAGAGTCAGGAACACTCTGGAACAATCCGTCCCTAACATGTTTATTAACACTCTGCCAACAAGAGAAGGGGATGTGTGTTTGCTATAACCCGTCTTTCCGGGGAGCTGCACATTCCACATCTGTGTCAGACCACAATTCCTTTCTGAGCTTTACCAGTGACTCACCTGCAGACAATGTTTGGAGAGCACCCACAGCTACAGCAAGAAGCCCAGAGGGTGTCTAGTTAATGTCCGGGGTCGGGGAGAGAGGTGAGGGAACATCCTGGGAAGGAATGCCACTAGGGGGGCTGTTTGACTTCTTCAGATCCACATGAGTGACATCTTGTAATTCCTTATGTCACTTTTTATTCATTTTCATTATAAGCACCATTATTTTTTTCCCACTGGGTAACTCTGAATTGCTAATCATAACCAATAAGGGAAGTGGAATTTGTCCATTTGCTTTGTAACCATTGTTGTTGTTGTTAGGAGCCATCGAGTCGGTACCAACTCATAAGGACCCTAAGCACAGCAGAACGAAACACTGCGCAATCCTGGGCCAACCTCACAATTGTTGGCACACATGAGCTCATTGATGCTGCCACTTTGCCAATCATTCTCGCTGAGGGTCTTCCTCTTTTTCTCTGACTCTCCACCTTACCAAACATGATATTCAGCAACTGGTCCCTCCTGACAATATGACCGAAGTATGAGAGACAAACTTTGGCCATCCTGGCCTCCAAGAAGCATTCTGGCTGCACATCTTCCGACACAAATCTGTTGGTTCTTTTGGCATCCTATGGCACTGTCAATATTCTCCTCCAACACCATAACTCAAAAGCATCAACTCTTCTACATTCTTTCGTTTTCACTGTCCAGCTTTCGCATGCATATGAGGTTATTGAAAATACCATGGCTTGGGTCAGGCGCACCTTAGTCTTCAAGCTGACATCTTTGCTCTTCAACACTTTAAAAAGGTCTTGTGCAACAGATTTGCCTAATGCACTATGTAATTTGATTTCTCAACTACTGCTTCCATGAGTGTTGATAGTTGATCCAAGAAGAATGAAGTCCTTGACAACTTCAATCTTTTCTCCGTTGACAAGAATGTTGTTTACGGGACCAGTGGTGAGGATTTTTGTTTTCCTTGCATTGAGATGCAATCCATACCAAAGGCTGTGGTCTTTGATCTTCATCAGTAAATATATTAAGTCTTCTTCGCTTTCAGCAAGCAAGGTTGTATCATCTGCATATTGCAAGTTGTTAATGAGTCTTCCTCCAATCCTGATGTCACATTTTTCATCATATAACCCAGCTTCTCAAATTGTTTGTTCAGCATACAGGTTGAATAAGTATGGTGAAAGAGGAAGACCCTCAGCGAGAATGATTGGCAAAGTATGGTGAAATACAACCTTGTCACACACCTTTCTTAATTTTAAACCATTCAGTGTTCCCATGTTATGTTCAAACAACTGCCTCTTGGTCTATATACAGATTTCTCAAGAGAACAATTAAGGGTTCAGGAATACTCATACTTCGCAATGTTGTCCATAACTTGTTATGAGCCACACAATCGAAAGTCTTTGCATAGTCAATAAAGCAGAGGTAAACATCTTTCTGGTATTCCCTGCTTACAGCAAGATCCATTGGACATCAGCAATGATATCCTTCATTCTACGTTCTCTTCTGAATCCAGCTTGAACCTCTGGAAGTTCTCTGTCAATGTATGATTGTAGCCGTTTCTGTATTACCTTTAGTAAAACTTTATTCACATGGGATATCAAAGAGATTG